AAGAAATGGATTTTTTCTTAGCTTATTAAAGTTAAATATATCCTTGCCATTTTTCAAAGTAAACCAGTTTCATGAAAATGCAATGACTTTCAAGATGTCTCATTAATTTTTTTATCAGTAAGGTTTTGAAGACTCTATAATTGGATTCAGGTACATTGGGAACTTGCCTACCAATTAAGTTGTGTATTTTTCCACATGTGATTAAACAAAAGTGGGTTGGGTATAATCATTTAGTCCTTGATCTTGAACAGTGTTTCCTATTCTGCAGAACGGCCTCCGTCAAGAATAAATGAGGATATTTAATACATATGTATATTTATTGAAGCTGTTCCTTGCACATATTTGCATTCTCTTCATGTTTTATTCCAACCTATGACAGTATTGCCAGGGGTTGTGGTATAAGACCTTTGATGCTGGCAAAAAAAAAATTACTTTCATACTATAGACTCTTTGGTTTCTTATACTGACTTTCGGCTTTGTGAAAAATGCTCATAGACTACTATAATTATTGCAAAAACGTTTCACAACATTATGAAACCCAAACAATAAAATGTGACAAGTGTATGACATACACATGCAATTGTTGAACATACTCTTTCTTGATAAACATAACCTTAATGTCTAAGACTGTAAACACCAAAACTAGAGTCACTGGTTCAAGTCCTAAGTCTGCTATCTTCCAGGCAGACAGCTGGGGCAAACTACATAAAATTACTTTAACTTAATATTTTTATAGCTAAAAGAAGATTGAAACAGTCAAAATCTTATTTAATAGTGAGTATTAAATAGGACATATCAGCATATTTATATCCTACTTTGTCTCAAAGGGAGAGTTTTTCTTAGCAGAAGAAGTCTTTAGTATGTCACATTGGGATTCTTGTTTTCTCTTTTTTGAGTGACAAAATATGAATATAAAATCATGAAGAGTATAAGGATAAAATGCTTTGAACTTCATGTTACAAAGTTCATTTTTTTCCTATAGCATTAATATTATTCAGAAGAAATTGTAAATAGATTTCAGACTTCAAAGCATGCTAGTATATGAGAAATTATTATTCCAGCAAGAAAAAACTCAGATAGTCACAAAATAAAATTTATATAATTTTTCAACATAAATTTATTTTCCAAATTGATCTCTAGGAAACTTGACCAGACTTCTCATGTTTTAACTTTTCATTTTTGTCTATTCTCCTTTTCTGTTAGGTATCATCTGCTTCCCAATGCAGGGCGGAGGTAGTATCACCCTGGCCACCTTGTTCCCATCAAGGTTTATTTAAATATTTTTAATATGAAAGCTCAAGGTTCAAGCTGAGAGAGAGAGAGAGGGAGAGAGAAAGGGAGAGACAGAGAGAGAGAGAGAAAGAGGGAGAAAGGAAGAGAGGGAGAGAGGGAGGAAGAAAGGGAGGGAGGGAGGGAGAGACAGAGAGATGGATGGTATTCCTTATGTTTACTTTTACATAATATTTTTATGTAATTTTATACTGTGCTTTGATAAAGGTTTACAAAGTAGTTTAGGATCTAATTCAGACATTCACTGACATTGTTTCTCCACAGCTTGTTCCCTGTGTTCACTGACACTGATACTGTTCACTGACATTCATCACTATGCATGAGTACAACACCCTTTCATTGGTTCTATTTCTATTAATCAAAATTCCCTGCTCCTAATAGATTCTGGCCTTTATTTTAAAACAAATATTGACCATTTGGGTTCATAAAGGCTAATTTTTTAAAGGATCACGTATCCAATGGTGATATTAATTATTTCATTGGAAGATTGAGTAGAAACTCTTGGAATACCACTTCTATACGGTCTGTTTTGTCAATAATTTAATATTATACTTTGAAAATCCAGATGTTGTGGCAAATGATCAGACTAGAATGATCATAATTTACTAGGGCTGAGGAGGGTACTTTGGAGCTTCACAGTGGCAGGGAATACTTGGAGAAAGCAGATGGTTAAAGATCAAATAAAACCATACAAATAGGCATTAATTTTTAAAAAATCGAACTCTATCATAAATTATAATTAAGTCTTTAAATTTCACCTTCCAAAAGTGTTCTGTTGTTGTTGTTGTTAGGTGCCATTGAGTACAACCCGTGGCGATCCTATGAACAACAGATCTGAACCCTGTTCTATCCTGTGCCATCCTCACACTTCCTGACACGTTAGAGCACACTGTGGCAGTCACAATATCAATCCTCTCCTTTCCTAACCTTCTACCTTCCTGAGCATCACAAAATAAACATAAATATCATGTTTTAAAAACCCGTTTGTTTACATTTGGCCTAAGTCATTGAATTAGAAGTCACATAATCTGATCAGACAAAATTCTTTTCCATTTTTAAAAATGCACATGAGATTCATTGCTGTTCTGTTAGTTGTCAGTCAGTCTTGACCCCTGATGGTTCCATCCACAACAAATGAAAACGGTACTCAGTCCAGTCTCATCTCAACGATCATTGTGTGTCCGAGTCCATGCTTGTAACCGCTGTTAATTTTGAGTGCCTTCCAAACTAGTTGTTAGGGTTAGGGTTAAAAATAGATTTTTTAGTCTTTTCCTTAGGCCCTTTAGGGATGTGGTCTCCAGCTGTCTCGACTGTGGAGACCTGGTTCACCATCGATCAGCATCATCTACATCATCAACAACTGTGGGGCCTATGTAAGAGGGAGGGCTGGCCAGACTGTAGAGATAGTTTGGAGAGGTATAGCCTGACAGAGTCCTGGAGATAAAACATGGGTTAAAGGTTCTGTTCACTGGACAATTGAAAGAACAGCTGACTGGTGACTGCTGTGAGACAAAGTGTGCTAAGCAATTGAGGAATCAGTGGCTTCTTGCATTAGTACTGCTGGGCTGAACACAGACTTTCACTTGTTTACTGAGAAATTGTGTCTTGTTAATTTGACTTGGGGCTGCTGTACTAAACCTAGACTTCCACTTTGTCCACCCTCAAATCTACTTCCTTAACAAATTACACAATTGTCTATAAAGTCTAGTCTGTGTGTCAGTTTACAATGGACATCAGACCCAGTGATTAGTAGAATCAGGTGCCGGAGAGTAGGTGTGGGCCATGTCTACCCTTGGAGCTACTTGTATGGTGCTGTGGATATTATTGATGCAGACAGTTCCCCTTTGTAGAGTTAACTGTGGTTGAACTTGGCCTTCTTCATATTGTTCTTTGTCCTTTTACACAATGATGCTCATCTTCTAGGATCCCATTAGACTATGCTCTTTTGCGACCCATATGGGTTTTTGTATTCTTTTGTTTTGCTTTGAGTGACAGTTTACGGAGAAATTGGTTTTCCATTCACTCATTTCTACAGATTACTCTATCAATTCTAGTCAAAAATAATCTTGATGATTCTCTATTCCATTGGTTTTTCTATTTCAGCCTTTTTGCCTTTAGATTTTTCTTCCTGAGCAAATACTGCCTTTTGGATCTTGTCTAATTGATTATTATAAAGAATAAGAGCCCCCTAATGCTATTGTTCACTTATGAGCATGTCCACTGTTTGGCAGAGGGTTGACTCACAAGGATGGACCCACAAGGTTTTCTTTGGTGAGTTTTAGAAGAAGATAACCAGGTCCTTCTTAATCTGGAAACTTGACTGAGCCCTGTCCACCATCAGTGATCCTGCTGGTATTTGAAATTCTGATGGCATAGCTTCCAGCACCACAGCAACCTGCCAGTCACCACCCTGTGACATTCAGAA